CCTCCATTCTCCTCTCAGGATCTTGGGCATGCATGCCACACATCGGCGTGAATTTAAGACACCGGGTCTGGGACTCGAACCACGGTTGACTACATGGGAGTCCAGCGACATAGCCATTACGCTAACCGCTGGCCCCCACCTCCTCTTTTTTAAAAAACAAATTATTCATTTAATTTTATTTATTATTATGATTTCAATTTGCTGTAGGACATGTATGCTCACATGAGAGTGATGGGGGTGGGAGGAGTGAAAAAGCAAGCTGCCAGGTCCTGAGCTTGAACTGTAGTTGGCCATGTTGGAGTCCAACGTCTTAATCACCATGCTACCTGCTGGCTCCCAGACGCACCCTTTTTTGATTATGGAGCATTGTCCCTCTATGTGGCACGCGTGTCTGATGGGGTCAGTACTGATTCCATCGCACACACGTTCTGTGGCCTGTGGTAGCGGTCCTAATCACTAAGTGAAAGAGATAGCCACGTAAGTAATCGTAATTTTCATTGTTAAGCAGAGAGAATGTGGTACAACTTCTCTGATACACTGACTGCTCAGTAGGAATGGATTTACCGTCTGCTCAGTGATTTACCCCTGTGTAGTGACATGTTAGGATGTGGTGGTGAATGTCCCTCCACACACTATGGCACCGGCGGTCTGGGAAGTCCAACAGTGTGATTTGCTAAAGACGATGGCCAAGATGATCTCTTCCAGAGCACGAGTGTTACCAATGTTGTAGTAGTGAGTTTTCTAGTTCTCAGTGATCCTCTGGTGTATCCGTCTGTAAGTTTATTTTACATGGAGAACAATTCTGAGTGGTCCCTGGCAGTTCTGTCCTTTTCATTCTTTTTGGAAACAAGATCTAATAATTTCATCGAGGAAAGCATTATCAAGTGCTTGTTCTGGAAGAATGACCCTGATGTACTAGGAAGCTCTATTCTGTGTGTGAAAACCTTGCCATCAATGGCTGCAGTGGGGACATTCTAAAAAGATGAAGGACTAAATTTTAGGAGTGAGTTAATCCATTTTTTGGTGTAGCAACATCTGGTTTTAGATAATCCACTCACATGTATTTATGGTTCATCCATTCTTCACCTGCCTCTGGGAAATCCTCTCATTTGTAGTTTCACATCCCCTAGTGGAGTTCTGTTACTTTCTATGAATTTCAAATTATTTGAGTTTCAGTATTTAATATTTCCAAATTTTATCTGATTTAAACCAGCTTTTCTCCATTGATTTTTTTTTTTTTTTAATGGCCAGAGTATGTGTACTTACCAAAGAGAAACAAAAGGACAGAGAAGGAGAAGGGGGAAGTACCTCTCAATGAAATACAGTCATGCCCAATCCCTTCTCCTCCATGTCTCCATCCTGCTGGGATTTGGGACACAGGCACACACATGCCTGGTGTATTTTGCAATTCACCAGACTGGAATTTGAGCCACTATCAGCCATGTGGGATCCAGCTGCCATTTTTTTTTAATGTTTCTTTTTTTAAAAGAGATTTTTGCCTTAGGGCACATGTGCTTGCCACAGAAAGAGAGACAGAGACAGTGAAAGGAATAGTGAGAAATCACCTCCCAGAGGGGATGGCTATGTTATGATCTCTTCTCTTCCATTCTCCTCCTGGGATCTTGGGTGCACATGCCCATGTGCCCACATGATTTTCAAGCCACCAGTTCCAGGACTCAAACCATGGTTGGCCATGCAGGAGTCTAGCAATGTTACTGCTACAATATCTGCCAGCCCCAAAGGATCCAGCTTCCTTAACCACTAGGCTACGGGGCTGATGGGATTTAGTGGGTCATTAGAAAAGTCATGACACATTTTTGCATAGAAAAACACATGATGACTTTTCCAATATCCTGATATTTTGTTAAATAAGAGTTAAGATAAAAATAGAAAATGCTAATTGAAAATTCAAGTTCACAGTACACAAAATGCTTAATCCAAATAAAATTGCATACTTTCAATTAAACAGTAGCTCAGTAAAACTAAATATCACAATCCTTGACATGCATTTAGAACTTTTACAAATTATATTTAAGAATTGCATTTAACAATTATTTTAAAAGAACAGGAGACTATCTCATGGAAAACTATGATTGATCTGATTTTTAAAGTTAGTCAAGAGGATGAGAATAAAACTTTTTTAAGATTTTTTTTCCCTCTGAAGGCATCTCTGGAGGACTTGAGAAGCAGTAATAGATTAACAGGGTCTGAAGACCAACCCTAAACTTCTCCAAACCTTTCAACACCTTTTATACACAGAGCATCAATCTTAGAGAGTTATCTGTGACCTTTTGTGGGAATCTGAGTGTTAAAAAAATCTGGGAAGCAAGGCAGGTTTTCTTTCTCTAGATGCCAGAACACTACTGTTTTCTCAGTCAAGTAACATTAACTCTGTATCACATGAGAGGCTCAGTCCTCTGTTTTCACTTGAGGACCTTTGTGGGCTTTCTGGCTAGTTGCAGGGGCTTTATCTTTGTTACTTTCTCTAGAACCTCTCAAGAGGATAAAGAGTAGGTCCTTAGTCTAGCTGCCACCCTGAAATTTCCATCTTTCTCTGAACTCCCAAGTGCCCTACCACCTTGGAGAATGAAACTAAAGAGAAGCAAAGAATGAAAACACTCTCTCTCTCTTTCATTGCCATCAGTTTATTTTTTCATTTATTCAGACAATTAGGCTTCCTAAGAGGATGCTGATCAATCCATCTACCTGTGCAGTACACTATCTCCCTTTAAATTCTGATAATGTGGTTTATTCCATGGTTTTTATTAATAACATTTCATCATGTTATCAGCGATGCGTAACCACCAAATCCAGTAGCTTCTCTTTTAATCTTTCTTCTTTATTTATCCACATATTGGATATTTTTGCCCACCTTTCTCTGAATGATATTATTCTTGATTAGCTTTTTATTTGCCTCAATTTCAAATAATTTTTTGGTGGGTTTTGTAGTCCTGCATCCTTTTTATATTTTTATTTATTTATTCATTTGTTGATTTTTTAATTTGACCAGAGAGAGACAGAGGGTGAGAGTGAGAGAGAGAGGAAGTGAGAAAGAAAGCCACCAGATTCAGGACTCGAACCCTGGTTGGCCATGTGGGAGTGTCCAGCACCTTAGCCACTACGCCACCTGCTAGTCCCAGTAGTCCTGCATTCTTTAATATTATGGGTATTCTTTTCCTATATGTATGTCTTCTTATTTTCTATGTGGACTACATCAAAATTGCTCACATAATTCCTCAAAAATGAAGTATCTATAAAATATTAGGTTCTTATCCTATTTCCCTATTTTTTGTAAAGGAAAAGAATGCCTAGTGCATTTTCTAGTACAGAAATAAAATCTGTGATAATGCATAACCACACAATGAATGTCAGAAATAATCACGTAGAAAAATAATACTTTGGGGACAACAACAGCAAAAACACCAAAACTAAATTATTCAGAAAAAGAATCAACATTCCAAAATAACAACTATTATTCTGAAAAAAAGATACAGAGTTGATGTAGATTATTCCTTGATTACACTGAGTCATTACATTGTAAGCTACTAGATACATAGGCCAAAGCTTCATCTTTCATTATCCATGGTAACTGGCCCAGAGTTTTACATCTCTACCAGCATCTGCTAAATTGAATGTGAGCCTTCCCACAAAAATTTCCAAAAAGAAAATAAGCGACGAAATATGACAATAATATTCTACTTACTATCATTACAAGACTTTTTTTCTGTATTTCGTGTGCAAATCTTATTGCTATAGTAGATGAAATACTATATATAACACAGAGATGTCAAATTTGCATATATATGCCCTCTAGTTTTCTTTAAGAGTCTTTTTTCTTTCTTTCTTTCTTTTTGCTATAAGGTGCATATGTTGGCCGGAGAGACAGAGACAGAGACAGAAAGTGAGAAATCACCCTCCAGACAGGATGGTGATGCCACAATCCCTTCTCATCTCAGGATTTGGGGCACACGCACACACACACCAGCATGAGCTTCAAGCCACCAGGTTCGGGATTCAAACTATGGCTGATCTTGTGGGAATCTAGCACTCTATGGCCCCAACCCTGTAGTATTTTAATAGAGCATTCATTGGGTTATAGAAAGACCTCAACACCCTGCCACCTAAGGTATTTCAAACTAAGTATCAGAATATATATCAGTAACCAAATCGTCCATGGTTAGATGATAGATTATCTTTGATGACTGTTTTTGGTTTAAAATACTATGATATTTTCTACTTTATTAAAGGTTAGTTTCTTATCATTGTGAATACCTCAACATATTTATACTATTTATTGATGAACTCCAAATACATTCCTGATTCTCTGAATTTGAACTTTTCAAATGTTCTGTGCTTAACATCGTGGGAAAAAGAATTCCAGAACTGAACAATGCCCCCCCCAAAAAAAAAAAAGTTCTAAAGTGTAAAACAGATTTCTACAGACTTGAATGCTGTATTCTAACTGATTTTCTCCTTGTAGTTGTGTGATACAAGGAGTCTTCAAGTTCATGGCCAATGTGTATCATGAAAAAGCTCTGCATGGATTTCCAAACTTTTTTAGCAACAAACTAAACTCAAACTTTAGTTCCATTTTTCCACAATTTTTTAAAGTACCCTCATTTATATGATGTCTCTTATGTAGAGAGACTTAAATCTTTATGAAAGTCTTTCATATGGTCAAGCGTTATTCAGGATTTTTATTGGGATCAATTGAGTTTATAAATAAAAAAAGTTCCATATTTAAAATCTGGCATTTCCCAATAGTATTGACATTCACATCCTGGTATGAGCAGCAGGCCACACCGAATAGCACAATCAAAGTAATGAAGCGGATGTTGGCCATACCTCCTTGGCAGTCAGTCTTTTTGGTTCAGATAATCTCAAAATTCTCACATCTCTACCCTTCCCTTTTTGAGTCCATTGGCCTCTATGTCTGACCATGCCTAAATATTTATAATAAAAAAATTCTTATTATTGTTTTCTCTAACTCTTGTACTTACACTCAGGGGGCATCTTTTCCATAAATATCGTGTAATATTCTTTAAGAAGTTCAAAATTTTCTTGATTAATACTTTCTTGCAAAGAGACATCTCCAAACCTAAAAAATAGAAAAAAAGAGAACAGTATGGGTTTATTAAAGTGCACCAGAAAGTAACACAGTTTACCTTTTCTTTAAGGAATAACTTCTTAAGGAAGGATAAAAAGTTTAGAGTTGCTGTAGATTATTCCTTGATTACACTGAGTCATTAAATCATAAGCTACTAGAAACACATACCAAATCTTCATCTTTGATCATCCATGGTGACTGGCAGTTTATATCTCTACCAGTGTCTGCTAAATTGAATGTAAGTGTTCCCACAACAATTTCCAAAAAGAAAAAAAATGACAAAATATGACAATTTTCTACTTACCTTGTCCTCATTACATTACATAAAGAAGGCATTTCTCTCTCTCTCTCTCTCTCTCTTCCCCTCTCTCTCTCTTTTTTGAGGCTTTTGCCATGGGTTGCTTGTGCTTGCCAGAGAGAGAGACAGAGACAGTGGGAGGGAAAATGAAAAAGCACCCTCCAGAAGAGATGACCATGCCACAGTCCCTTCTCTTTCATTCTTCTCCTGGGATTTTGGGCATGCATGCACATGCACCCAGCATGATTAACCATTGGGTTTAGAACACAAACCATGAATGGCCATGTGGGAGACCAGAGCCTTAACCACCATGCCACCTGCTGGCTCCATTTCTCTCAGTTTTAAGTTACATTGCATAATTGTGATTTCAAACATAGTCTTTCTCTAATCCTGATTCCATCAATCACTTCTAACATACCGAAAAATACACATGTTCATCAAACGTGAACTTAAATAAAATACTATCGATATATGTAAAACACCAGCCCCTGTGTGCATGCATTATTGTTACTGTCATATTCTACAATCTACCCTACACCTCCTCTGCAGGGCTGCATCTCTGCTGGTATATAAAATCCAAAAAGCAAAACACCTCCTTTTTCTCTTTTTATATACATCTAATATTTCCTTTTCACCCATGACAGGGGTGGGGAAGGGAAGGGTTCCAGAACACCAGGACTGGACCTTGGATTGCATGAGACTTTGCATACAGCTCCTAGAGAGTAGTTCATTGTGTGTCTACACCATGAAGGCTGGTGACTCTGTAACAGGGCCGCTCTGCCTCTACTTCACGACAAACCTTTCTACCTATGTGTCACTGATCTTCTGTTCTCTGAGAAATTCCCAGGTTCAGACTTAAAGTCCACTTGACTCCCTATCAAAGGATGCTATATAAATGACTTATAATATCTGTCTGTGGCCAAATTTGTATTTCTAGATGTCAACTGAAAATTTCAGCATATATTTTTCTACCCCTCCCCCCACCGTGCAACATAGCCCCAAACGGAAACAATGTCTACATTTTGGTTATGTATAAATCTAACTCCAATATTATATCATTAACTTAGATTCAAAATCTAGGCACCATTTTGAATGCCCTCTCTTTTACCAACCCAACTATTCACTGACCTTTTCTTTTTGTCTGTCTTCTTTTTTTTGAGAGGTTTTTTTTGAGAGGTTTTCACTAGGGCATGTGCGCTTGCCAGAAAGACAAAATCACCCCCCAGGGGGGATTGCAACACTTCAACCCCTTCTCCTCCATTCTCCTCTTGGGATCTTGGGCACACACGCACACGCGTCTGGCATGAGTTTAAGGCACCAGGTCCAGGACTCACACTGCGGTCGACTTCATGGGAGTCCAGCAACATAGCTGTTATGCCAACTGCTGCCCCCCCCAACCTTTTCTTATCTTTAGTACCACTTTATTCTTTTTTCTTTACCACTGTCATTACAAATTAGCTATTTATATCCAGTCTGAACTCTACTAGAACTTTCCAAATGCCCAATACCGTGTCTCCAGTCTCCTCTTCCAATCTACCACTTACATCATGATCAGATCGTTCATTCATTCAACAAACACTTATTTATCATTGACTGTGGACAATTATTGCACTGTAATATAATAAATGAAATGTTGGAAAATTTAATCAAATGCGCATTTCATTTGTGCTCCCTGAACTTCAATGTTTCTTCTCTCCCTGTGAGGACATAATCCAGCCTCCTTAATTTAACAACTTCTCTACAAAGTCTTCCAGATGTCCTATGGGAATGTAGTTCCACTCTTCTCTCTCATCATCAGGACTGTAATGCCATTGGGACTGTTCACATGTTATTTTCCCTCTGACTAGAACACTTATCTTCCTTGTTGGCTTGATCTATTTCTTTACATCTTTCAAAGCCTGGTGAAAGACTCATCTCCTCTATGAGACCTCCCCTTTGGATTCATCTCCCGTAGGTCAATCACTTTCTTTCCTACGCCATTCCTGGCCCTTCTCATCTTTGATTGTCGCTTGAGTCAAACTGTATTGTGATATTTACAGTTCTGTCCTCCTTACTGGATGGTATATTCTTTCAGTATAGGATTATGTCTTGTGCATCTTAAGGCCTCCTGTTCCCCCTGCATCCCACAGAGCAGGATCTGGCACAGAGTCAGTGTTCAGTATGTTTACTGAGTTACACTTGGAGGTCAGGTACACAGACCCAGGGACAGTTCTCAGGATGCATTTCCCTAGACTCTGAAATACACTCTCCTAACTTTTGCTCTGGAGCATCATCAGCTGGTATTGCATAATCAGCTGGTATTTTTTTAAGTGGCATCCCTGCTGAGGTGATATTAGAGTCATGAGCTGAATATTTGTAGCCTCCAAAATTCATATACTAAAGCCCTAACCTCCAGTATTTAGATGGAGAAGTAGAGATTGTGGCGTCACCATTCCCTATGGGAAGTGCTTTCTTTTCTCCCACTCTCTGTCTCCTTCTGGCAAGTACACAGGCCCTCTGGCAAATTAAAATATATATAAATAACAAAGGTAATGGTCTTTAAGGAGCATAGAAGCTATCTGTACTAACCGTGGTAATATTTTTAGTTTGGTAAGATTCATTAGTAAAGACCTAAAATATACTTAACAAGTCATGGCAAGGGATATGCCTATTTTAAAACTATTACCTATGGGAAAAGAAGATATTTGAAGAATGAATTATATATAACAAAGCATTTTAAATCCCAAACGCTCAAAAATTTGGCCTGTGGGGAAAATTCTCCAGCCAGGCTTTACAGCAAGATGATAACTCCTTTCTTTAAAATCTTTTTAAAGTATGTCTATGAACTTTAAGTTTTACGTACTTTTTTTGTTATCTCTAAATGTGAACCATGTAAGAATCAGAAATTAAATTTTCTGTTTGCTACAAGAAAAAAATGTGTGTGTGTTTTTTATAGGGATTCATAGGATCACATGGGATCTTTTTTTGTTTAACTAAATAAGTAATTAAAAAAGGAATGTGTTGGGACCACCAAATGGCGTAATGGTTATGTTGCTGGACTCTGATGTAGTCGACTGCAGTTCGAGCCCTAGATCTGGTGCCTTAATACTCATGCTGGGCATGTGTTCATGCATGCCCAAAATCTCCAGAGGAGAATGGAAGAGAAGGAACTGTGGCATGGCCATCCCCCCTATGATAGGTGATTTCTTGCTTTCTGCTTCTCTGTCTCTTAGCAAGCACACGTGCCCTATAGCAAAAATCTCTCTTAAAAACAACAACAACAACAAAAACAAGCAAACAAAGAGATGTGTTAATATTATCCAGTAAAAACTATTATAATTAAAAGAAAAAAAAATAGACCAAGTTTAGATCATAACATTTTGATACAATTAGCTGAGTTTGCAATGTTGCTCTATGAATGCACATAAAGATTCAAAAATTTTATATTTACATAGGTACTTGGAAACACACAGAAATTTAACCTATATGAATGTTGGGGTATTGACATTAATATTTTTCTCAATGGTTTTGCCATTCTTAATTTTATTTGGGCCAGGATGCCTCACATAGGAATATTTTACCTTCTATATCAAGTAAGTTCATATTGATAAAAAGGAAAATGTTACTCGCAGTTCTATTTCAGTTCTATATGCAGAAACTATGGGATCTGTCAGTTTATCCCAAGAGGAAAAAACAAAAAACTGAATGCTATACCTGAAGCTTACCTCTCAGCAAGAGTTTGCTGTTCATTGATTCCAACATTAAAAAGTATGGGGTACACATGAAGCAATTGTCCTTCTTTAATCTGTAAAGGTAGCAACTCAAACAGTCTAGTTGGAAGCTTGACCTCCACCACGTAATGTTCACTGAGGAAAGCAGAAGACAAAGGGAGGAAGCGTTACTTACTTCAGTTGTTTCATTTTGGCTTTATAGGAAAGAAACAGTAAGAGAGTTAGAATATAGCACTCGGTTAGGTTTTTTGGCCGCCATATGCTTATTTTCCGTCATTCATTCAAAAGTCATTCACTAATTGTATTATTAAAATATCTGGCACAATGAACTGTAAGAATTAGTTTACATGTTCAATTTCTCTACACTAGTCTGAGCTTTTTCAGGAAATGAAGGATGTTTCATACATTCAAGACTGTGTGCCTAGAAAGCTTCAATATTTGTCTTCCTGATTTAATTATTTTAAAGCTAATCAGTCCTAAGAATAAGAAAAACAGTTCAATGGTAAGAAGCCAAATCAGTAGTAATTATTTTTGGCATAGTCTTATCAGTGAACCCCATTTGTGATAGCCTGATGGAAATGTGGTGGTTAGTTATTTGAGGTCTCACCTTAAATGGCCCTGATCATTCTGCTACATCGACATATCACAGCAACATTTTTCATTGAAAATTTCTACTAAAAACTACCCCCAAGTCTGGCCCCACAGTAAAGTGTCTATGTACAATGTTTAGGGAATGGATCTCACATGGCAACCACAGATCTAATACCGGCCCTGTCAACTTGAAAATCATGCCAGATAAGTGTGCATGGCTAAAATCCTACAGGATGGAGGAATGGAGAAAAAGGATTGTGGTATGACTATGTCCCCATTCAGAGGTGTTTTCTCTCCACTCTCCCTCTCTCTGGTGAATGCACAGACCCTCTGGCAATTAATTAAAAAAATAAACTTAATTAATTTTTTTTGGAGAGGTTTTTGCTATAGGGCGCTTGCGCTCGCCAGACAGACAGAGAGAGACAGCAATTAATAAAAAATATAAACTTAATTTTCTTTTTTTTTGGAGAGGTTTTTGTTATAGGGCGCTTGCGCTCACCAGACAGACAAAGAGAGACAGAGAGACAGAAAGCGAGAAATCACCCCCCAGGGGGAATGGCCACGCCGCAATCTCTTCTCCTCCATTCTCCTCTCAGGATCTTGGGCATGCACGCACACGCGCCCAGCGAGTTTAAGCCACTGGGTCCAGGACTTGAACCGCGGTCGACTATGTGGGATCCCGACGACATAGCCATTACACTAACTGCTGGTCCCAATAAACGTAATTTTAAATATTTGAAATTTCCATTAGGATTCATAAACTATGATAAACAAGAATAACTGCTTATATATTTTGACTTCTGATGTGGTGTGAATTGAATATGGAAATGTTGGATTTTGCCCTCATGTTAGGAAGATGCACAAACATGTCTCCAGAAGTACATAAAGTGGTAGGCTGTAATAGCTGTATTAGAGGAAAAAGTAAAGGGCACATAGGGAGTCTCTGTGAAAAATTTTTTAAAATGTCTCCTAGTATAATAATATTATTGATAACCACTATAGATCATGGACTCAGACATATTTATTCCCTAGCTACAAGCTAGAGAATTAGAAAATAGGAACCTAGCTTGCCAGGATTTAGGACTACCCTCAGATGGACGGACACACTATTTTTCTTTGATTAGTCACGTTCAGTGTTCTTTCCAATAGCCTGGTTAACAGAGGGCTAATGTTTTGTCAAGTCTCCCAGGATAATGAAATGAGAAATATCAATGAGTAGGTTCATGCTTATAAGCTGTTCTGATTGGGAGGGATCAGAACCACCAAAGACCCTCTGCCCAGACTTCACCCTCCTGTCCCCCAAGGTCTATCCAAGGAGCCAGGATAAGGCAATCAGCAGCGGCCCCATTCAGGGATCTGGGCCACCAAAGACCCTCTGCCCAGACTTCACCCTCCTGCCTCCCCAGATCTAGCCAAGGAGCCAACTGTGGAAAGGGAGAAAAATGATACTGTTTAGAGACTTCATGTCACCTCCTCCTACATTCCTCTGAAAGCTCAGATTTAACTCCAAAAACTAGGGAAAAGCATATAATCCATCAGATGACCAGAAGCTACTACAGAGACACTAGAAATATGAGAAACCAAGAAAATATCCTCTGAGGGAAAAGAATAACACTTTTCCTTCCACAGAATTTATGGGGGAACTCATGGAAATGCCAGATAAAGCATTTAAAATATTCGTAGTGACAAAGCTAACAGAGATGGAAGAGAAGAGAGTCAATGAACTCCAGATGGTGCAGGAGAAAAGCGACGAGTTCCAGGAGGTGGGGAAGTTCCTGCATGATCTGAAAGAGGAGATACACATCATGAAAAAGAATCAAATGGAATTATTAGAGATGAAGGCTGTAATACAGAAAATTAAAACCTCCCTTGAAAATATCCAAAGCAGATTAGATCATGCAGATGATCAAATCTCAGATGTAGAAGATAGAACCTCTGACCTAGAAAAATTCACCAAAAAAGACAGAAAATAACCTGAAAAAATGAGAATAACATATGAATAATACTAGATACCATTAAATGCCCAAACATAGGATAATCAGTATCCCAGAAGGTGGAAGAAACTAGTAAAGGTATTGATAATCTGTTTTATGAAATCGTGGAAAAAAACTTTCCAAATCTAGAGAGACACTCAAATATCCAGACCCAAGAAATACAAAGAACCCCACATAAAACCGACCCAAGAAGATCCTTCCTAAGGTACGTCATAGCCAGATGGAACTAAACCACAGACACTAAAATGGGCAAGAGAGAAATGTCAAGTTACTTTCAAAGGATATCCCATCAGTCTAACATTGGACCTCTTGTTGAAAACAATACAAACAAAGTGTAGGAAAATACATTCAAAGTGTTAAGTGAAAAACAATTTCAACTAAGAATACTATTTCTAGCAAGATTATCCTTCATATGGGAAGAAAAGCTTGAAACATTCTCAGATAAACAAAGCATAAAAGAATTTACTAACACCAGACCAGCTATTCAAGTTTTGCCTATGCATTCATTAGTTGATAGGCAATTTTATTATTTTGTAAATTTTGCTCTTAAGAATAATACTGCTAAAAAACATTCAGGTTCAGGGACCAGCAGTTAGTGTAATGGCTATGTCGCTGAACTCCCATGTAGTCCACTGTGGTTCGAGCCCCAGACCCGGTGGCTTATACTCACACCAGGCGTGTGTTCATATGTGCCCAAGATTCCAAGAGGAGAATGGAGAAGGGATTGAGGTGTGGTCATTCCCCCAGCGGGGTGATTTCTCGCTTTCTGCCTCTCTGATGAGTGCGTGTGCCCTATAGCAAAAACCTATCCAAAAAAAAAAAAATTCAGGTTTAGGTTTTGGTGTGGACAAATGTTTAATTTTTTCCTAAGTATATACGTAAAAGTTATATGTCAATTTTGTACTTAACTTTTTTTTTGAGAGTTTTTTTGTTTGTTTGTTTTTGTTTTTTTGCTATAGGTCATGTATGTTCACCAGAGAGACAGAGACAAAGAGACAGAAAGTGAGAAATCACCCCTCCCAGCAGGGGGGATGGTCATGCTGCAATCCCTTCTCCTCCATTCTCCTCTCAGGATCTTGGGCACACATGCACATGAACCTGGAGTGAGTTTAAGCCACTGGGTCCAGGACTTAAACTGTGGTAGACTACATGGGAGTCCAGCGACATAGCCATTATGCCAACTACTGGTCCCTGTACTTGACTTTTTAAAAGAATTGCCATTCGATTTCCAAAGTGGGTGCCATTTTGCAGTTCTATCAGCAATGTATGAGAGTCCCTTTTTTTTTTTTTACATCCTCACCAACATTAATTATTATCTGAATTTTGATCATGACGATTCTAGTCTGAATGAATTGATATCTGTGGTTTTAATTTCATTCTTCTGAAAACTAATAATGTTGAATATGTTTTCATGTGCTTTTAAGACAAAAATAATCTTTTTAGGTGACATATCTATTACAATATTTTTCTTATTTTTAAATCGGGTTTTCTGTCTCATTGTTACTGAGTCATAAGCTGTCTTTATATTAGCAGGATTCAAAAAGTTTATTAAAAATGGAATAAGGTATTAGTTTATGTTGGTGCTAAAAGTTTTTAAATTTATGCAGTTTTTTCATTATATACTTTTCCTATAAACTTTTTTTTTGGAGAGGTTTTTGCTATAGGGTGTGTGCGCTCACCAGACAGACAGAGAGAGACAGAGAGACAGAAAGCGAGAAATCACTCCCCAGGGGGGATGGCCATGCTGCAATCCCTTCTCTTCCATTGTCCTCTCGGGATCTTGGGCACGCACGCGCATGCGCCCGGTGTGAGTTTAAGCCACCGGGTCCGGGATGTGAACTGTGGTCGACTACGTGGGAGTCCAGCAACATAGCCATTATGCTAACTGCTGGTCCCCCTATAAACTTTGTGAAGACCTCTTGTGTATTTTGGATCCAAGTCCTTTTTCAGATATTTGATTGGTGCATACTTTCTCTCAATCTGTGGCTTATCTTTTCATTTACTTAATGATGACTTTTGATGCCTAAAAGCTTATAATTTTGGTGAAGTCTTATTTTTTTTTTCTTCAATGAACATTGATTTTTAAATTTTGTTTTTAAGAACTCATTACCTAATCCACTTTAAAAGTGTTTTCTCCTGGGCTGACCTTGTAGCCTCATGGTTAGGATGACCAGACCCCATATGGCCAACCATGGCTCAAAACCCAGTCCCAGTGGCATGAAAAACACAATGGGTGGATGTGTGTGCATGCATAAAGCTCACATAGGGTGTGGAAATAGAGGACAATGGATTGCTGCATGATCGCATTCCATTGTGGGATGCTTCCCCCCTGCCCCACCAAATCTATAGATAAAATTGTGAAGAACTGTCATCTTAACAATTTTGAGGCTTCTAAGTCAAGAACACAGGCCGTCTCTCCATTTATTGGGTTGTATTAATTTCTCTCAGTGATATTTTTTGTGAGGTCTGCATATAATTCTTAGACTCTAACTTGGCTAAATTTATTCCTATTTCTTCTTCTTGATGCAGTAGTGACTTGAATTGTTATCTAAAATGCCACTGTTTCTGGCAGTTTTCATCAGGTGTTTTTTTGGTTCTCCAGTTCAGGCAAGCTGGCCCCATTTGTTAGTGACACTGTGAGTACAAATGACGGTCTTAACCTAGTAGAACTCTGCTAGCACAACGCAGTTGACAGGAACAGCCCATAGCACAGGTGACATAGATTCCCACTCTGTTGCCTGAAGAGCACTAGTTTTTCATGAATAAGTAATTCTACATTTGATGCATGCAACTGATTTATTCCTTTAGTTTTAAAATTGTAGCTTTAGATGATTATTTCAAGTTGTACTCTTGATTTTTGTAGAGAAGATTAACTAAGTTGCTCTCTTTGTCATTTAAGAGTCCCACCCCTAGGTGAGCAGATGGCATTGCAGTTATGTCACTGGACTCTCACATGGCTGACCATGGTTTGAGTCCTGGACCCAGTGGCTTGAAATTCAAGTTGAGTATGTGTGCTTAGTATAAGCTCAAGATCCCAGAAGGAAAATGGAGGAGAAGGGATTGCGGTGTGGCCATCCTCGGGATGGGGGTGGGGTAATTTCTCACTTTCCCTCTTACTGTCTCTGTCTCTTTTTCTGGCAAGTGCACATGCCCTAAGACAAAAAAAGAGTCCCATCCTCGCCTTGGTGATAACTTCTGAATTTAGATACAGCTTAAAGAACTTCTTCAGAAAAGGCATTCTACTCTCTGACTATTCCAAATATAAGCTTCCCTCATAAATTGTTATAAAAATATCAGTTTGTTACTTTGGATATTAAATAGTAATACTGGTTTGTGCTATTTTCCAGGTGTATGTGTAACAGAGCAATTTTATTCTTCCATGAATGGTAAATTAAGCATTAATTTCCAGGTGAAATATTTAGTTTTATGAGGATGCTTTTTCTGTGTGTGTAAGGAATAGTCACTTTTCATTCAACCATGAGTCTCTGGGCATCCTTCGCAGAACATTTAAAATAGCTAATATCCATTTGCTGTGGATGGGAAAACAAGTTTACTCTGAACTTTTATACTTATTCTCCATCTCCTTCTAGCATGCAAAGTTTTTTCCCTTTTGCACATTGCTAAGTTTTAATTATGAACTGAGCATGTTTAACTTTGACATATCCTTGGGGCCAGCAGGAGCCATGGTGGTTGAAGTGCTGGACTCCCACATGGCTGACTGTGATTTGAGTACTGGACCCTGTGGCTTGAAAATCACTTTGGGCACATATACTTGCATGCCCAAAATCTCAATAGAAGACTGGAGGAGAAGGGACTATGGTGTGGCCATCCCTCTGAATTGGGGGAATTTCTCACTTTCCCTCTTTCTCACTCCCTCATGAGTGCATGTGCTCTAGAGCAAGAATCTAAAAATAAAATAAAATAAAAATTGAAATGTACTCATGAAGCATGAATGTCTTTGGATAGAAATATGAAACTAAGATTTGCTTTCATTTCTCATTAAAATATCTTAGTAGTGGGACCAGCAGTTAGCATAATGGCTATGTCGCTGGACTCTGATGTAGTCGACCGCAGTTTGAGTCCCAGATCTGGTGACTTAAACTCACGCTGGGTGCGTGTGTGCACATGCCCAAGATCCCGAGAGGAGAATGGAGGAGAAGGGATTGTGGTG